AAATCACGAAGATCCATAGGATTCCTCAGATGCCGGCCGAATCACAAATCATTTTAAGTCTCGAGGGCCTAGAGCATTGGGTTTGAAACCACAACATCATCAAACCTATATCATACTGTGGATGGAAGAAATCCTGCACCAGTTGGTAACTATTGGGAACTATAAAACATTGTAAATAATGGGATTACAATGGGATAAACCATCTATTAACTGGTGCAGGATTTCCTCCATCCACAGTATGTCATATTGTTAAATTATGTTAAGGATTTTTGGCTCTGAAGTTTCGGTGACGTGGGTGCCATGGCATTGTCCAAGAGTTGTACGGCTAGTTCGCTATTGCATGGCCGGCCACTTGCCGAGTGGAAGACATGGTGGGGAGGGGACCTTGCAAAATCCATTGCCAGAGCTTTGAATGAGCACATAAATCCCCTCAAACTTCCAGGACATGGTGAAATCCTAGAAACCAACCATTTCACTGGTGATTCGTTGAAAGATGACCATGTAGCGGCAGTTGCTGAAGCCCTTCTGACCTCATACCCCGAAGAACGTCAACCTTCAGCCTATTTGATGGGTGATGCGGTGCTTGAGTTGGACAACCTGTGGAAGGGTGGGTTGTTAGGTGGGCCCAAAGACAGCCCCATCCAAGAGCGTGCCCGCCGGGACAGCGCTTTGGCCACTGGGGGGAAGATGAAGCGTTTACTCAGCTATGTTCGCACAAGTGCCTTGAAGTCAGAGCTTGGTAAGACACCTGCTGTGACTTATTTGAAAACCCTAGCAAATAGGAGGCTGGTGAAGATCCGGCGATCATCATCAGTCTCGACTACAGCCAGCTCAAGTCCATGCACTAGCGAGAACTCAGTGTAGCTAACTGGCATTAAATTTCTTGTGGTTTGACATTCTTCTCTTAATTTTGAAACACATTATATTTTTCAACCCCTCATGTCCCAAGCGATCCCAATCTAAGGCATCAGGGTACTCAGGAAACCCCTTCGGCCAAGTCTCTGCAGAGCAAAGAGCGGTGCATCTATGATGAAACAATGCTTCTCCTGGGGCCACCAGGCTTCAACGATTATACCACCTTGGAGCTTGATGATGATGATGATGATGATGATGATGATAATGATGATGATGGTGATGATGATGATGATGGTGATGATCATGTTGTTGTCTGTTCATGTGTTTCCCCTTTGAATATATACATCAAAAGTGAGGTGTACATATGTATATATATATATATCAATAGAGACAAATATATGCATCCATCTCTGCTTGATATAGCCAGGGGGTTATATACCCATTGAAAACCACATCCGACTAGTTGTTTGTAAAACTGGAATCCTTTGAGTGATGATCATGATCCATAAAACCAACAGCCAAAAATTAGTGGGTTTCAATCCTTTATGTTTGGGATACATGGGAGATTTACTTAAGCAGGGAATCCAATTATCATGAGTCAATTTGGGATTCATAGGCTTGGTCAAACGTTTCACAACAGGTTCATGTAAACCCAGTACATGTTGAAACATCTGATTTGCTCAGCCCATGCCTATAAGGTTGGATCCAAACATGGCTTGCAGCCAGTACAGCTTCCACTGCATGGTGGAACAGGACTTGGGACCGGATGCGGAATATCTCAAACAATGGAAACAACAAGGATCAGAACCTGTTGACATGGAAGTGGAAGTTGAGACCATTGATGTGGAGTCCAGCCATGCGCAGGTGCAGTTACATCAAACAATCAATTGTTTTGTTCAAGTTCCCATGGGTATCTTTGGAATAATCATCATCAATCATCAGTCCCTGAAGGTGTTGAATGGTGACTTCATGAAAGAACCACTTTCCGCCCCGATTCGGCCACCGATTGCAGCCCCAAAGCCAGCAGCAGTTGATGGTGCCACTGATTGCGCAGCAAATCCGAGGGAACAGCTTGTTTTGATCGAGCCCTGGAAAAAAAGGATCTAGTTTGACTACAATTGTTTTTGACAACTAGTTTTTGCCACCAAAAATTGGTTGTTCAATTTAGGTCACCTGGTCTTTCAGAGAAAGGGGTGAAAACCGATATCTTCAGGACGATTTGTCCACTAAGGACTCCAGGAAGCGACCACGCCCAGCTCCACCCACCGGAACTGCATCTGATGAGCCCCAACCAGTCCCTAAGCTTAATTTGTTTTTAAAAGGTTTGAAGTGAGCAATGCATGGCTTATTCTTTTTAGGGAAGCCTGACGTCCTAGGCTGCCAAGATCTCGAAAGCGGATCCGGCAACCACTGCTGTGGAAACACCCTCTTCTGCTGCAGTGACTTGGCTTTTGAAGGCCAATTACTTCAATCATCTTCGAGTGATCCCCACTCTGACAATCATTCATGATATATATAATAGCCATATAACTATTATACTACATCCGGCCCCTTTTTTCCTATCATTGACTTAAAATGAGCTAATGCAAAAGATAGCCCTATGGTTCTTACGCTCTAGGCTGTCCAGATCTCGAAGGCGAATGACCTCAATCATCTTCGAGTGATTCCCACCCTGAATAGTTTGTCCTTATCCATTGACTAATGTTTCCCTTGTGCATAAAAAGCCATTGAGTCTAAACAATTCTTTTTGACCTTTGCCCACAAGCTTTCCAGAATTGAGTCTATGCATGAGGTAGCCCATGGTAGGCCACAAATCATATCGTCCCTATATAGGCTGCCATGATCTCGGATGACGGCACTGCGGCTGCGCCCTCTTCAGCAGTGGCTTGGCTTTTGGAACACCGACTTGCTTCGAGTGACTCCCACCATGAGAATCATTCTGATACAATCTAGCAGATGTTCCTCTTTTTCTTAAACACCTTTAACACGATGATGTATATGTTCATGTACCTATTTCTCATTATTTCTCATTGGTTTGGCCACCAAAAAAATGCATCCAAATTGCCAGTCTCAGCTCATGCAGCCAAAGAATGGCAGGCATAGAGGATGTCTAGTCTATAAAAATAAACATATAAATATATGAATATATATATATATATTTAAATACATATACATATATATATATATATGTGTGTGTGTGTGTTGACCAAATTGTCCTATTGTTTTGGCACTCCAAAAAAGACCCCCACAACCAATTAAAGATGTAGCAAAACTGTAGGAAAAAGGCTATTTGGGGTAAAGTTGTGGGAGTCTTTTTTTGGACTGCCAAATTAACAGGGAAATTAGAAGTGTGTGTGTGTATATATATGTAATTATACATAAAAATATGGGGCCCTGTGCATTTGTTTTGCAATATTCAGGACATAAGATATATATATATATATTCTATATACATACAATCGAAACATATAAACAACTATCACCGCCCTGTTGGTTCGGCCCGGTCCTAGGTCTCTGAGGCATCACCAGATGTCGTTCCAGTGGACTTTGGAGCGGTGCAAGGTGCGTTGCCGATCCCAGCAGGCAGGTCACTAATCAACATGTTGTTTGAATGATGGGTGTTTTGTTGGGAAACTGAAACATCATCTGGTTCCACGTTAATGATGTCTTCCAAGTCTTGCTAAATAACACTATTTCTTAAACCATGGGGAGGCATGCCAGCGTGTGCTCGCCCACAAGGGTATCGGAAGGGACGTCTGAGCTACACCATTTGCAGTCCCACTACCAAAGCCAGAGTGGAGGTTCTCCTAAAGGGAAAGGCCTTTCGTGTGGTGAAGGTTGGTGGGAAAGATGGTTCTTAGTTTTTGAATTTAGGAATGTTTTCGTTGAGTGTGCTGATTTTCCATGGCCAACCCAATTGGAAAATTCCCAGCTGAATGGGTGAACCAACAAAATGAATGTTAACATCCCAAATAAATAAATAAATGTTTTCGTTGAGTGTGCTGATTTTCCATGGCCAACCCAATTGGAAAATCACCAGCTGGGTGAACCAACAATATGAATGTTAACATCCCAAATCAATATATATATATATATATATCATATATATATATATATATCATATATATATATATCATATATATATAAATCATATATATATATGTCATATATATGTATATATCATATATATATATATATCATATATATATATATCATATATATATATATATCATATATATATATATCATATATCATATATCATATATCCAAATAGATAGATCATTTTCCAGTTTTTGGAAATCCTTACAACTAACAACAATCTTGACATCCCAACTATATATATATATATATACATACATACAGTATTTGATATGTGTATTCATCTTCAAGCCCAACACTCCCTGATGGAGCTTCTAAGGTGAGCCACTTGTGGAGAAGCTGCCAGTCTCCCAGAAGCCTTGGTTCGACGATGTGCAGAAAGCTTGGGACACCCTGAAAGCAGAGATCCACTGGTACTAACCCGTTGACCGAACACCATAGGGAAAATCCCTATAGACATGGTATTTGCGCAAATTAGATCATCGATCTAGGTTTTCCTGTGTTGATTAGGTGGGCACGGGATATCGATGCAAAACAGTTGCTCTGCGTGATATGTCAAGTCGGTTTGTGCTGCGCTGTGGATGCTGCAATCTTGCAGTTGAGCTAAACTTACTGAAATTTGTTTTTTCTTGTTTATAGCTGTTTAGCTCTTTTTGCCGCGCGTTCTGCTACGCTTTTGCTGCGCACCTGCACTAAGCAATGGTCCTGACCCGTTTGTTTCCTACCGAGAAGGAAAAGAAAAAGCAAACCTCGGTGCAGAAGAAATCCATGAAAAAAATGAAGGAAACCCAGGATGAGGAGAAGAGTGTTGAATCGTATGCTCGGCATGCTGTTGAAATTGGTCGGTCCATGCAGAAGTCTCGCCTGTCTGATGCCGCGCGTGAGCAGGTCAGGGGTCTGAAATTCCAAGTGGAAAATAAAACATGGCTAGTTTTGTTGAAGTCTGTTCTGAAAGATGTTCAACTCAGCATGTCACAGTGTGCCTGCCCTGTAGATGCACACACGTTCTTCGACTGTTGGTCGTGATCAAAGCGCCGAGAGTGTTG